GACACACGTCAATGACTGTTGTCCGATGCCCCGGGCAATACAACACGACGTTCACAGGACAAATATCGTACACATCTTCAGTTTATGTCAGTAGTATTGTACCGGTTGCTCCAATCCCACAGCTATCCGTACCGTGTACGAAGCTCGTTGTGCGAATTTACTTTCGCCTGAATATATCGTCTTAGGAATTAGCGAGTTAGCACTCGCCATAGCCTTCATGAGAACGAGGTGCGTCTATATCATGCTAGCGGTGACTAGCAGAATGAATGCAGTGTCCAAGGAAGAACATCCGCGGCTGACGGAAAGAGACCCGTCCGATATGAAATCGCATTCGATCAAGCTATTCACAATAGCTGGTCGGAACACACATGAAAAAACATTCCGCAGAAGAAATCTTTGATCTTGCTACCAGATGGATTTCAACCACAATGTTCGGGCCTAGAGTACCCAAGCCAGATGGCATAGTGGTATACAAAGCCTGAGAACAACAGGTCTGAATGGTTTGAACAGAGAACTATCAGCTGTCGTTCTGTTCACAGAACCAGTGCTGACAAGAGCTTTCACACTGGCTTCCAGCCCTACATAACATCCTTAAAGCAGTGGCAACTGGAGCCGAATGGATAATCGTACCTGGACCTTACACAAATAAGGAATGGGAAAAGGCACTAGACAAGATTAGGGATATAGCTGAGGGCGCGGTCATATCCTGCGAAGCACTCAGGTCAAGGATAAAAATACTACTACCGTAGGTTGCGAGAACTGTCGGGGCAGCCCCAGATATCGAATAGCCACCATACCATAGAAGTCCACCCTCTCATACCCCAGGGCACTGCTCGTGCTTTAATTGTTATAAAGTATTCGTGAAATCCCAAAAAAATCCCCTGGAACACAAAATACTTCCGAGGCAAAGGTATGTTCCCAAAGGGAGGTTCGGCACACCGCCCTTATTAAACAAGTTACCCCGTGAACCCGACTCCATTGTTGACTACGTTGAAGTTGTTTTATTGTTTTTTTCTCTTCTTCGTTGTCCCTGTTATTGTCGCCGACAGGGTCAAGGTTTTGGGCAGGGCATGTTGGTGAACCCGTGTTAATCTGTTGAGATCTGTCCCACCCTGTTCTAACATGTTAGCGGCGCTCACTGACGTGGATTGTACCTTAGGATATCAGTATGATTAAGTCTAGGTTTGCCGCCACTGAAGGCAGTGGCCTTCAATCTCTCATCGCATCTCGCCCCGTCTCTTTTGGTTTTGCATTTTTGTGTTCCACTAATGAAAATTGAGTGAAGGTAGCTGCTACAGCATCAAGCGGCTTTGAGTGGCAGAGCCTGGTCAAGCTTGAAGAGGCAGGAAAACCCATAGAATCGAAAAGCCACTGACCCTTCAATAGTTCAGTGCACTGATATGATAAGGCAATGGAAGGAACGTCTTGGTTGTTGGGCTAGGGAAGAGGGTAAAGATGTTGTAGCGTTTACATATCTGTTTGCTTGTGTATATATAGACCCGCCCTCGTCAGAGGTGAGGCCGTCAGAGCATCATCGCCAGAATTTTGCACGCGATGATGGTGTATAGTAAAAATGCCCACTTGTAAGCCGGATTCCCCAAGTCGAAGAAATTCGAGTCGATACGACCCTTCAGATATCTTAAATTCCTCTATTCTGGCTTTGACTGACGTCTGTAACTTGCTCTCTCATAGAGTAAGGTGATCAGTGAAAGAATCCAAATACAATAAGAAATAAGAAAATGGAGCGACATGCAATCTTTCCGAAAACCATCCAATGATAGCATCCATTTACCGATCGATTCTGGATGTTGCAATAGGGGGAAAGCCGGCATGTCTTTCATTCTTCACTATTGAAATGTAGAACAAAAGAAAATGCATGCCAACGTCTTATGTCAGAGCAGAGTTGGAGGAGGATTGAGGGTGAGTCAAGGTTGATTTGCGATTCTATTCGATCTAGGGCTAAGTCGACTCTTTGTGCGAAATACGATAGACTGTTGGATACACATCGAGAAACTTCTAGCATTCATGAAAACAATTCCTCCAGGGGCCACCACCACACCAGCGAGCCAGCTCGCAATGAGATTTTTCAGAGCGGGTCACTGTTATCGGCGACGCTCATCTTTCTACAAATGCTTTGAGTTTGTTGAATCTTGGTCCGTCTTTTTCGCCTTCACAGAACATCAACGCCCAAACTTTCCGGAAAGTGGTTGGAGGACTTCAAAGGCTTAGAGACTTACTGCGCCTCAATAATAATAGGCGCCGAGAGGAACCGCATGCCGCACATCTTGATCACAGAACTTCTCTATGGACACCGTTTCCACGAACATTCTATCGAGAACCTCAGCCATGCCAAGAAATCGATGCTAAGTTTAGAATTTTGTCAGCTGACATCCTTGCCGTCCTAAATCACTATAAAAGGCAACGGAACACAAACCTATCACACGAACAATGGCAAGGTTTCAGAGAGTTGCGCGAACTAAGATCTAACGGTTCCATACGAATTTCTGTTAGTGATAAAGGTGGCGAATTCGTAGTTATGCCACAATCACTTGATCGTGCCATAACCGAAACGCATTTGCGGGACTCCTCCATCTATCGACTTGTGAGTGAAAGGGACTTTTTGTCACAGTGCAAGAGACTTAATCATATATGGCTGTGCACGGCAAAGTCAGCAGGTCTTGACGAAAAGTTCATCACTGGTCTCAAACTGGACAATCCAAGTTGTCCGGTTTTCTATAGCCTTTTGAAGACCCATAAGCTTGCTCCTCACGATATGCTGTCGATGTCAACGGATACTTATAAAATTCGTCCCATCATAAGTTGTGTGGGGGACCAACCGACCGAATATCATGGTTTCTGAACAACATTGTGAGCCAACTTCTGCCCATGGTTCCCTCTCACCTGCCTAATACGAATAAGTTCCTTGAAATCCTACACTCTTCTCACATTGAGCGAGAGTGCAATTATGGAGTCATTCGATGTAACTTCACTTTACACTAACGTCCAAAACGAGCAGGCCTTGCAAGCATTGTCAGAGATGCTTGATAGGCATATGCATAGTATACAACTTTTTGGACTCAACAAAACATGCATAATGACTCTGATCAAGGAATGCTTGAATTGCATCTTCAAGTGGGCAGGAACATACTACTCTCAGATTAGAGGGCTTGCCATGGGTCAACGCTTAGCACCGGTCCTTGCTGTTTGTTTCATGAGCAGAATCGAAGAACCGGTGTGATGTACTGTAGATATATTGACGACTGCTTTCATTATTACGTCGAACACAGTCCGAAATGGATGAGTGTTTCCGACTGATGAATGAGCAGTCACAGTACATCAAACTCACTCGCGAAACACCACACGACGGTTGGTTGCCCTACCTCAACACGCAAGTCAAATTATCCAGTGGCATCGCACATGTGAAATGGTACCGCAAAAGTAGCTCGAAAAACATTCTGATTCATGCTACTTCGGCTCACCCAATCGCCGTCAAACGCGCCGTTGTCAGAAATATGTTCAGAACCGCGACTGTGGTGAGCACTGGTGATGTTGAAAGACGTGAATCACGACAATTAGCTATGAAAATAGCCATTGCAAATGGCTATGCGGTACAAAGACACCAAAGTGAGCATATCTCCCCAAGAGGGGTGCCGCGTCAAAATAAGTTACCCTTATGTCTCCCCTTTATATCTGACAAAGTGAGCACTGCTATTCAACGGAGCATTAGAAGAGCACAGCTGCAGAACGATGTTCAGCTTGGTTAATATTCCCAATGAAAACATCGGACGGCAACTAGTGCGAAACAGGCTCTATGATAAGCAGTGTGTGTCAGACGGTTGTGTTATTTGTCCATACGGTAAAATAGGAGATTGTGCATATAGGGAGTAATTTATCAAATTGAATGCCAGGGCTTGTAACTCAACCTATATTGGAGAAACAGGAAGGGTTCTAGCCATTCGCATCAAAGAACACCTGGCTAGCATGAGACGCGGTACTCGTTCAACAGCTCTTGGAAGGCATAAGTTCGAGGAGCACAATGGCGTTGAATTTGAAATAAGTGTACGGTGTTGGCGCATGAGACGGAAATTGTTGCGAGAAAAGCATTGGAAGCATTCTGGATTTCTTCAGAAATCCAGCAATGAACGGCCGAGATGAGCGTCCTTCAATAACAAGTGATCTTTCGCCGTATATACCGCACTGCGAGCTATAGAATAAAGCGTACGTGCGTCCTGCAATGAACACTGAAATCAAGGAGACAGTGCGGTGTGCATTATTTTTTACTGAGTAGCGTCTATATGTGGTAGCGGGATTCCCGCGCGAACGGTGGAACCCTTGGGTGAGTCAAAATTATTTTTCTTGTGTTTCTCGGTGGAGGTTCTGACAGAATGTCGGAACCGCTAGAGTGGATAAGGCGCTTGGTGGATTAGAACGTAAGTCTAAACCTTGAACCGCATTTAGGCCTCAGAAGACGACGATTTTGTCGAAACGTTAGGCCGAACTAATAAATGTTCCACCTAAAAACCTCGTACGGCACAAGAAACTAACACAAATCCAAATACATGTTATTTCGCAAACCCACCTAGAACCTCTCATGAAATCCTCCCAGTGTTTCCTCCTAGCAAACTCCTTCTTTCAACAATCGAATAACGCCCCAGCTTCCCACGATGGGATTTTTACAATTTCGGCGGGGTGTGGGTTGCTTCTTACAGCTTGGTGCATCCGTAGCATGGAGAAACCGACAAATAGACCGACAGAATCACAGGTATAAAGGGAGACCAATAGAGGACAGGACGGAAAAATGCTCAAGCAGTAGGCGCTTGTTCGAAGAGATAGTTGCCTTCTACACCTATCCAGCTAAGCTCTCCCTCTTCTTAGTCCTCCGTTTTCCTTCCGTTCTCTTCGAATTTCATAATTTTTGCTAAATAGGTTACTTTTTTCTCAAATTATTGCTTCCGACACCTTCTGGCCACCGTGTTTTCAACTTCACTTTCTCACATCTGTCAACAGTTATCATATGAAACAGCTCTCACCCCTCCGTGGTTACACATGTGATAAATGTGGATCTTTGGATCGATCTTTGAGAATTCACTCTTCCATCCAGATAGACGAAATTTCCCGTGAGGGTCGGTTCGAGTTGTGGCCATTTTGGTGTCGAACACTGCAAAAGTATAAGATTAGTATGTGCTGCGTCGTGTTCACATACAGTAGCAGTCAAAAGCCTACCTACAAAGTCAAGTTTTGAATAAGGCGAGCAGGATAATTTACAAAAATCTAGAATCATATTTGAGAAATAAGATTTTTTTCAAGTAATGGCGCGTCAAAAGTTTGGAAACTTTTTGTTTCCCTCATCATTATGATTCCTACTCTTCAATGTTTACTTGTTTCTGTTAATTTTAGTTCAACCATTGAGTAATGTGTAATTTCAAAATGAATTCATATGCAAAGGAAGCAGTTTTTCCATGGGAGGTTTTTTTAAACCCTACAATCCGGAATACGAAATTGAAATTGTTTCTTAGTAGTTCAGTCTCTACGGAAGCAATATTATCGAATGTTTCTAGCGTTATTGGAGTCGAGTAAGCATAAGAAGAATGATCATTCACAAAAAAGTATCCTCACAAGAAAATTGGCCCTCCTCAAATACTTCGAAGGGTGGTTGGCACGTCCCGTACCCCCGACATTCCCAACTAAGAGACGACTTTTTCTGGTTTTTTCCTAATCATATGAAAGTCCAAGTGCAGCCAACATCGGCCGCGACCTGGTGAATATTACGGATGATGTCCCAACAAGAAGCCATTGTTGGGCTTCAAGAGCAGGATGGCCCAACTGGCTTCCGCACACTAACGGCTAACATGGACCGAAGGCGAGAGGTAAAAACTTTGTCCTCAGCGACGAGTGTTCGCCCTTCTGAAAATGATGTTGTGGCCCTGTGAAGTTCTATCAACAGGGAAACCTAATTCGAGCTAACAGACATCAAGTCAGAAGGAAGTGCTGTCATGGATGAAGATATGTCAGACCATTCGACGATCCCTAGTTCTGAGACTCCAGAATATGTAGACTGGGCTAAATACACGAATAGTCTGCGGAATACAATGCTTCCCTTTGATAGTCAGAACTAGCCGAAAAAGATGGGTTTTCTATCGCGGAAATGAACCCAATGCAGGCCTACCTCCTCACTGCCGCCTTCCTAAACCCAGAAAAAGAAGCTGTTATGAAGCGACCAAGTCAAGATCTAAGTCTAATTGAGTTCTACATCCCACGGAAGAACTGGCATGTCGCTCAACCCACATTCCAGTTAAAAATCCCACCAAACAATGTGATTTAGTTCACAGTGTGTAGTGTTCGACTTAAAAGTCTTGAAATTATTTTCTAACCAACACCATGTCAGTAAAAACAATGTCGACATAGAATTTTACAGCTACTCATAGAAACACTAAGGCTGTTTTCAGAGTCCGCTCCGTCGCACTTTCGCTGATTTCGCGATTGGCGCGAAACCTGCGACGGATCGCAAAAATTGCAAGTGCCCCATTTGAACATTTGAAACACTGAATATGAAACAAGTGGAATCATGAGCAGTCGTCATTCAGCCATCACTATCAAGCAGAAGTGGCGGCAGGATTGGAGAACACCTTGCAGTATTATCGTATATTGTATAGAGTATCGGGCACTTGTGATTTCCGTGAATCCGTCCGCGTGATGCGAAAGTCGGCGCAAATCGCGTAAATCAGCGAAATCTGCGACGGAACGCTGATCCAACAAGTCTAGTTTGACATGTGAATACGAGAACTATTTTGCTGAATTCGCTCTGGAACTGAGGAGTTTCCAATTTTTTAACGCGCCAATTCTTATAAAAATTCCGATTTTTCGTTTGCGATTCTCTTTTTCTTTGAATTTTTGAAAGGAAGGAAACACATGGAGAACAACTTAATTACCGTCACGTTACAGCACTCTCACTTTCCCGAGCAAGCTTCTATCGCCTTCAGCTCAAAAATGTTCTGAGCTTGACTAAAAAATTGCTCGAGTAGCGATGTATATCATCTTTATCAATTCTCTTTACCATCCTTTACCATCGAGCGTTTTCCTTGTAGAGGGTTCAGTAAGTAAAGGGAAAGGTGGTGCTCCGTTGGAGCAAGGTCAAGGCTGTACGATGGGTTGGGCAGCACTTCTCATTAAAAGTCTTGGTACTTCTGACGAGCCCAACAAATAGTGCGTGGACGAGCACATCGTGCAGGAATCATACCGCGATTACTGCGATCTGCGATCTTGCCAGCCAATCTTCTCAGATAGCAACACAGGCACACCGCGTGTATAGCGTGGAGCGACAGAAGCTCCTAATTAACGAGGCTGCGCAGTCCCACCAACAACTTGTCATAATTTTCAGAGGGTGAGCACCAAACTTTGTTGAGGGCAACTTTGTTCTCCCTTGTAAAGTGAGGTGAGCTTGTTGCTACCCTACAGGCGCCACTCAAACAAATTATTGGGTGTCCATTGTGAGAGCTTGTTCACCCCCCCAACTAATGCTTGTGATCAGCGAGGGTGCTGCGGCGGAACATTTAAGACTTGTGTTAGCTCACATGTAGTATGTTGTAGGTCTGCCTCCAGTAGCGACCATTGTTAGCTTCGAGTCGACGTCCCTATCGAGCTAAACTTTCGGCGTTGGGGTCTCCAGTGCGAAAATCTTCAAACAAATCTTGTGCAATGCATTTGGATATCTTGCCTTATTTCAACGCAGCGCCAATGCGACGAATAGATCGCTGATTTGCCACATATAGAGTCGTGTCGTGAAAAATCAAGAGATATCACTGAGGTGCTTGGTGTGGGATCCTTTTCCAGCATCCCAGTCCGCATACTTCTCCTCAGTTTTTGGGAAATAAAACAAGAATTATAAGAAAAGACCTACGCAATCCTCTATCAAACAATATGACTTGGACGTTCGTTGCTGGATAGCCCTTGCACTGAAGTTCACCTTCAACTGCAACCGACTGAGTTGTACCGAAGCCAAGAAGGCTATGGCATCTGGGCAGCGCAGAAAAGTAGAAGATTAAGATGTAGCAGCGCATCCGTACAAGATTATCGTAGCGAATAGGCAGAAAACGATGAAAGGCAGTTTGGACGCCAAAATTGATCCGACAGACATGTCAACAAAGTGCGCTCTCGACAATAGTGAAACCCGTCTGATCGATTGCCTCACATTATTGAAGCTGGCCCAATCTCCATATCAAAATATATGCATAGCACCGCTGTCGAAGAGTGGCTGGCCTTTGGACTGTGCGATTGCTTTTTGCACTATAAAAAGTGTTCCGATATAAATAAATGTTGTTACAGTTGATATCCGGGTGGGTGTGTCACCGTTAGTGACGTGCTCTTGAAAGAAAGTGCGTGGATAAGTTGTTGCCAGCATGTTTTGCTGATAGCCAGCGATTCATTATTCAAAGTCAGCTTATCACATAGTTTCTATCAAGTGCACGTCACTTCCAGTGACACGCCCACCCCAACTTACCGATATCGAGTATATGTTATGCTTGTCATGAAGAAAGTCGCAAATCACTTTCATCTTTACTTCGCAATTTTGTAGATACGGCTAGTTGCCCTTGAGACTTCAACTTCATAGCGATCACATGATCACGAACCCTTTAGCAAATGACTTCTACCTTTTCCCCACAGTTGAGCTCGCCGTTATCGACTCTGATCCACTGGCTATGAAATATGAGGCAATGTGTCCCTCCTCATCCGGGATAAAATTTTATCTGAAAAACGAAAGCCGACTCTACTCAGGAATGAGTCTGTCAGTGAGAGGGACTGCTCCCACTTTATCAAGTCGCTGTAGCAACACACGAAGTCCCCGTCTCATGAAAGGTCGAGAGAATATTGTCGTTCTCCCAAACGAGCCGACATTTTTAGGCACAGAACGTGTTTAGCGTTCGCACGCCATACATCGAATAATGTTATACTTTTAAAGGCAAGCCTCGGAATAAAACTGGTGTATAGGAGGCGCACCATACTTATGCATGAGCTGCAAATGAACTAAAAGTGGAAAAGAAAGTAAGAGAAATTATAGGAAGTGCTGAAATTAAGGCCTTGACCTCCAGTAAGGTCGGGAGTAGTACGAAGGCAAGACATTGCGATCAAAGAAGACAAAACACGCTATAGAGCACGCCGTTCGAAAGAACGCACTGATCTCCGCATCAAGGGATGGTGGGTGGGAAGCGCTGGGATAGGTGTCGAAGGTTGCAGCACCTTAGCGCTTAGCGCCTTAACCGCGCATTTTGAGCGATGTGTGCGCCTCCCTTTTCGTAGTGAAGGACACTACAGATTCTCTCCGCGGTACCCTTCCTACTAGTTGGGCTAATCCCGGGGCTTGCTTCGAACCTTACAGGGCATACTCCAGTTCCACAACCGCCGTAAGAATACCGCGAGTATGACAGCTCATGGAGTTTTATACTGGGAAACGATCTAGCGAAGTCCAGCAGCATCAACGTCAATGGCAGTTCCTTAGAATTGTACCCTGGTAACAATCGGTACTCAATTCGCCATCCTCAGACAAGGCAGTTTCAGTCAGTCGTTTTCCATCTGGACACAGAAGCTTAGAAGAGCTTTACTTCTCATTTAGTTGTTCAGTGCTCACAATTGGAAGTAAATAGCCTCGCTCCGTTACGACCATTACATTAGGTGCAGTTCGCACGACGGAACCATCAAGCATGGTCGACATCAACCTTGTATACCTACTCCGCAAAACTCTTTAGCTCAGCGTTCATACGAAGAACAACATAACCGCGCCGTGCCCCGCACGCCACATCACAGCAGAAGACAGATAAGTCCTACGTGCTCTTACCATCGCTCCAGCCGCCCGGGGCATATACCAGCAACACGCAAGATCATGCGAGACCTCTCATGGGACAGATGACTTGTGGATGTTGTTACCACAGATCCCCCGCATAAATAACCTTAGAGCTAGTCCTCGGTCGTACAAGCTTTGGACCCTCCATCTCTGGTTCACAGTTTATCGTTAATTTCATTCAGTACGATCCAAATCATCTCATACCACAATATACCACTGCGACCCTAGATATGAAGGTATATCGTTGGTACTACTGAAGATTCAGACCCGCAATTTGATCAAGCCGAAGACGACAGAGTCCTTCAGTGGTTCTATGACACAACCCAGGAGATGAAGGGCACTTTTCCTTCCAGACATGTACAAGTCTGGTACCAATTAACTGAGCTCAGAGGGATGAAAGGCTTAGTTGGCTTGGGCGAAGCGCCATCCAAGATCCGATCCCCGGACCGCACGCGTGGTAAGCGTGCCACTTGCCACTACACCACTTCCGCCCTCGTTTGAATGTAATTATGCGGGAAAGAAAAGCTCAAATAAGTGTTTATTAATGGAAGGTTATATTAGGATTAGTTTACGCAATCGATCGTTTCTCCTGGTTGCTTCTTGGAAAGATCTGTCACGCCGAGGTGGAATACTTTCATCGGTTTTTTCCCTTTTGCGATGTAGCTGGCAGGGATTCTAATGCTGAATTTCCTGTAGCATTTCTGAAACGACAGAAGAAATTGAGGATTGACGGCACACTTGAGAATAGTAGTTGTATACGTATAATAGCACTAACTTTCGATAAAGTATACTCACAAACCTTCGCAAAACGCAAAGCTATGGGCGAAACTTTGAATGAATTTATTAGAATTTGAATGAGTTTCGAATGAAAATCACTTTTAAAGCCACGAGTCAGGCTCAGTGGACCAAACCAATCACTTTAGTCGTCTATGTGCATGGCTACGCACCCACAGGGACGTTGCCATGCTCAGAATCTCAAAAGGCGCCGTAATAACGCCCCAGGGCATGCATTAAGCGCTCGCGCCGCCTGGAGGCGCTCCGACCGCCCACCTGGGATGTGGTGCGTGGCTGGCATAACGTGTGAGATCAGCTAGGTTGATTGCCGTATCAACCGATGGAACGGCTGGCATATCCAGAAAACTCGTTTGGACGTGACTCTCCCCCGAGCAAATCTCCTTCACTGCTAGAAGGAATGGGTTTCTATTTAGGTGTTGTCGACAGTTTTTTTCGTTTTTTTTCTTCACTATCGTTCCACCTCCCATCTCTAAACTCAATATCAGGTGCCATAATGCCGAAACACGAGCCTGACTTTTGCCTTTAACTGGACTAATTGTTTACACACGATAGCGCCTGTTCCAAAGCTTACTTCGCGTTGTTTGCATTTTTTAAAATAATAAATAATTAAATAATAAATAATGTAACGCCCAAAATGCTTAGCTCAAACACGGCGTCAAAACCTTGCCATGACCCACCATTTGAAGCCAATAGGTAATAACTCAGATCATATAAAGACGAATCGTCGGATGTTCTCAAAAGGAACTTCAGGATCACCGCACTTTTTCGTGTGTCCGTGCAAGGTCCAAAGGAAGTTACTGAGTTTCTTGGCGGAACAGTACTGAGTTTCTTGGCGGCCACAGAAATGTAGCCTACCATTTGCTACGATATGCTTCAACGTCTGCATTGCTATGACTGATAACCACTTTTGGCACATGTGATTATGAAGAATGTCACATGTTTTACCTTCACTATTACGCCTCATCGTGACACTTTTGTATGAAACGAACGCTCCAGTAATTTTTCCAGAAAGGAACAGTACCCACGAAAACCTCGATCTTATCCTGTATCATAGTGCTAAGTGATCCCTATTTTGTGCAAAAATTGTATTTTTAGCCAACTTTTTACAATATTTAATTATCCAACCTCGAGATTTAGTTAACCACAGATATGTGCATGCTCTTTCGCCACCACGTATGTGGCGACGAAGCCATTGCCTTCTGTCCTCTCTCATCATTACAATTATTGGGTTGTCTCATATTACTGCCCTAATTCTATTCGAATTCAAATTTCTTCTGCCTGACAATAGACCATTTCATTGCGATATACGTAGCTATGTTGAGGAATGCTCTGAGAGCTTTAATAAGATGATTCCGCGACAGCAAGCCCGCAATGGGCTAATCAAGCAAAAAACAAAACACAGAGGTCAGTGTCAACACGAATGATTATTCTTTATGATCCGAGTGAATAATACTGCTAGGAAGACAGTAGACGAAATCAGCGCTTTATAAGGCTCAGTCTCTGCTATTGAGTGGCTACTGAGCTAATGATTTACTCGCAACGGCAAAGGCATCCGGACTGCAGGCGCCATAATTCAGAAGGGAATCAACCATAATCTGCTATATAAGAGAGTCTTCCCTAGTCGATAACCAGTAGAGGTGAATTCATGAGTCCACCGCTAAAAATACACGTGGCAATGCTGCCTTGCAGCCTGGTCCTTCCAGGTTAGCAAACCCCAAGCTCTGTATTCATAGGATATTGCCCTCCTTTTTGTACTCCCTAGGTGGCCTGGTTTGCGAACTTTCCACTGTATGAAGACAAACATTGAGATAGAACCTTTAAAAACATCTCAGAATCTCCGTTGTCCGCGTGAACGCCCGACCTCACATTGCAATGCCGATTCGCCAAGCTCTTAGGAAATAGGCACGACCACGACACCGTATCCACGGTCCATGGTATTGCTCCACCAGACTATCGCCTCCACTGCGCCCTGGATCAGCATCTGCGAGAGGAAAAAGGGAAGGAATACGTACCCGCAGAAACGACTCCTCCCAATTTTTTAGCCCTAGCTTCTGTCATTTTGGAAGGAAAGCACGCAAGCGTTCCCTAGCAAATGCATGCGTGACCATAATGGTGCTTAGTTCGATCACCTGTTCCCCAAGGGGGATAAAACATATATAAACAAAATTGTCAAGATCCGGACAGGAATTATGAGACAGCCCAATATCTCGCCTCGCATTCAGCCTTGTTTTGATATGCAATACTTCTCACCGCTACGCGATTACATTTGTGGTAGATGTTGAGCTTTGGATCGATACTTGAGACTTCTCTTTTCCATCCGGCCAGGTAGAACCTTCCTTTAGGATCAGATCGAGATTCGGCCAGTTTTGTATCGAATACTGCAAACAATGTTATTGTGCGCTGCATGATTAGACTGTGCTGAGAAGCACTTACACCTTCACAGCCCTCGAACAGTTCCATGATGCCCATTTTTTAGCCACGCATTTCACAGCATGAAAATGTATTATCGTGGCTATAAGGGACACTGTGCTGTATATTCCAACTTACATATATTAAGATGGTGGGTTGCTCGAATTTAGACAAGGAGTGCTGGTCGTTATCGAGTCAAATGAGAAAGAGAAGGAGCCATAGTAGCCATGAACAAAATAGTGGCATTCATTTCACCGCAATTCATTTAAAGCAGCTGTGACCGCATTTCAGAGCCACAACCCAAGATTGAGTCGTGTCGAAGAACCTATTCCGTAGCTGCAATAGCGTAGGCCACTACTATCACAGACTTGCTGTTGTTGCGGCTCGAAATTGCGTTACAAAGACGATAGAGTTTACGAAGTGATTTGATGGCGGCCATTGAAGGGGCGGGGGAAGACAGTATGCCTTAAGAGATGCAGGCTGATCTGAGCACGGTGAGGATATAGGAAGCGGTGGTTGTCGATTGGCGTTGTCATCGGAAAAAAGAAAAAACCGGGCCTTGTCGGAAGTGAAAACGATTGGCGCGGGCTCCTATGCAGCACCTCAGTTCCAGTTCCAGAGCTCCGGCGTTCCAGTGTTGTGGTGTTCCTGAATCCAGCATTCTAGTGTTCAGTGGCATCTGTGTGGTGCCTCAGTGGTGTAGTTTGTTGGAAGCTGTACGGCCCGGGGGGCCTAGGCTTAGAAGTAGCCTTTGTGGCATGGTGAGAAGAGCCTCAGTGGATCACTGGTTTGGCCTTAGTTGGCCCCGAGAGTGGGGAGCCTCCGTGGCTCGGTGAATCGGCCTGAGTGGCCGAGAGGAGCCTTAATGGCTCAGTGATTTGGCCTTAGTGGCTTGGAGGAGAGAGCCTCTCGGCTCAGCCTAGAGAAGGAATTGCACCCTTCACCTGGTTAGTGACCTCGGCTCGGTGGTACCGGTCCCATCGATACAATCCGCCTCACATCGCCCAGTTATTCTTGTGTTTTATTGTCGATTTTTCTGATCTCAATAAACCTTCCTTTCTACTTGTCTCAATCACAGTTACTAATGGTAAGGTTACTCCCACGTCGCAGCAGACAAATCCGTTTATTACACTACCGTACGGACGAGATACCTCACACCGCTAGCATGTGACGTGTAATAAAATGTAGTGGACGAGATAGACGGTGTTCAGGAAACACGTCCAGACACGTCTATTTCCCGTCATCAGTCAACCTTGATTACCTCACCAAACCGATTTTATTGTCAAGTTGTTTCTTTAACCGATTTTTGCTGCATTGAAAACAAAAGACCCCCTCTGAAAGCAATTGGAAATCCGCGTTGAACACGTTGTGCTATTCCTCCGTGCATAGAGGAACTAGAAAATTCCTTTCCCTAACCTCTCACTGCTTCATTCCGACAAGGGGAAGGGGTCGTTTAGGCAATCCGTGCTTTTCTTAAGGGCAAGCCCCCCCTTGGGAAAAAAAAAAAAAAATTAAAACTGTAAGAAGGCTGTAATCGACCGGTGTAGGGACGAAGTTATTTGAGGCTGCGGAATAAACTGTAAGTGGAAAAGAAAGCAAGAGAAATTTTCGGAGACGCTAAATTTGAGAACTTGACCTCGTGTTGGATGTGGTACGACGGCGAGACAAAACGATCAGAAAAGCCAAAACACTCTAGAGAGAGAGCAGGGCGTTCAAGAGAGTAAGCTGATCCCCATCAATATAGCGTATCAATCGCGGTGGTTTTCATTTTTGGCACCGCTGGTACCGTTGAGCAGAAATCCAACATGGTAGTGGGTGTCATACATCTAGAACATGTTTTTGAAAACTGGGGAGTGCCCCCTCAAACGGTCCCATCTTCCCCCTCTCTCACCCTGTGAGATCCTTTATACCTTGCTAAGGGCGTTGCTGTCAACTGCACCTGTGGCGAATTTTAACTGTTTGTAGATGTTTACCCCCATTTCCCAATTTCAAGACAAGGAGTTTTCTGGAACGTAATGCGCTGCACTCAAACTTGTGTGCTGACATGTTGCTTGTTGCGCCCCGCCAAGGATCTATAGCACAAAACTCACGAATTCCTGCGTCGAACAGCTTCACTTTGACGTTTGCCGCTGGATGGCCGTTACACCACAGTTTACCGTCTGCGGCCACCGACTGTACTTTGCCGAAGCCAAAAAAGCTATGGCATCTCGGTAGTGTAACAATAGCGACAAAAATGACGAAGATGTGGTGGTGCATCTATAATAGATTAACTGAGTCAAGGACATGAGGACTAAACGATGGCAAAGGTATTTGAATGCTAGAAATAATGCGATACGCAGGGTACCTCAGCGAAGCAGTTAAGCAGCCACACTGTTTATGCTATCTACAGTATACGTAGCTGGCAGTGATTGCCACAAAGAATACGCATATTTGAAGGAACGCTCCGGTATGGGGCACGCGGGCCTGTCCCAGGAAGTGTTAAGCAGGCATTGATGTCGCGCCGTCTTTGTGGCGATGAAACGTGCGGCCACAAAGGCGCAAGAGCTTGTCGGGTAGCTTCCAGAAGGCTCGTCGCGCGGCAAAGACGGCAGAGTCAACCAACGAGTGGCAGCGCATACTGTGATGATTTCGCGTCAACTTACAGTCAATATCTCGAAGTCTGATTGGGCGTGTCACCGGAAATGACGTGGCAGCCACCGCACTTGATAGATGTTGTGTGGATAAATATCAGCAAAGCGTGTTGGAAGCAGCTTATCCGCCACGCAACTTCTATCAAGTGCGGTGGCTGCCACGTCATTTCCGGTGACACGCCCAATCAGACTTCGAGATATCGACTGTAAATAGAATGTGGCATTGTAGGTCCTTCACTGCACTAAACGCTGTGACTCGTCCGTTGACTCCACCTTCGCAGCGCGGCCGGCCTCCTGTCGGGTACCCGAGATGCAACACACCCCTTCCTCCGCAAGCCCCACCCTCCGCTGTCGGTTGCCACGTGGCGCTGCTTGAAAAGCGCGGGCGCATTTGAGGCAGCGGTCCCATTGCGACCAATGTCATTGGCACTGGAGCAACTAGAGTTAGGTTCGTGAAACTCGTCCAACGCGCCCCTTCTCTATCCCAAGGTGGAATGCGGCTGAAATAGGGGAGGTCTCTGTGCGGGGCGTAATCGGTGGTTTCGTTTGCTTTCCTTCTCTTTTCCAGACCACCTCCCCTCTAGCTTCATAACTGAACGCTTTTCCACACCTATTTTATCCCGAATCTTGCCTTTAAAGACACGAGTCAGGATAAAGCACTCATGGAAGTGTTTCCATCACTAGTATGGGCTGGCTGCACTCAGAGGGGTGACGCAACGCTCCTGACTCGATGGCGCGGCGATAAGGCCTGGCCTACTATTTACAGCGATAGCTTCTTGCATCAGCTATGCCCGCCCACCTCGGAAGTGGTGCGTGGCTGGCATAACGTGTGAAATCAGCTAGGTTGATTGCCGTATCAACCGATGAACGGCTGGCATATCCGGAAAACTCGTTTGGACGTGCCTCTTCCCAAGCAAGCCTCCTTCACTGCTAGTGGGAGGGGGGTTTTGTTGACGGTTTCTTTTCGTTTTTTCTCCACTGTCGTTCCATTTCCCATCTCCATACTCAGTTTCATTCGTCATAATACCGCATTCGAGCTTTTCCTTCAGAGCCTCTGAATATGTGAGGTTTCTTTGCTAGTCGACAGCTACCTCTTCTTGAGAAATGTTTCCCTTTTCTTCAGGCCTACGCAGTGCCAGTGCTTGCAAAGAACAATGCTCACACAAATTCTACGGGTGACAGTGTTGCCACATGAATTGGGTCGTCCCATATGTAATGAG